AAAAACAAAGAACATTAGTTGAGTGCAATTTAAAAGAGCACACTCATCGCGACAACAATTCAGTTGTCGATGTTGCCTGCACTGCGGGTAACTAGTCGGGTAGGANTGTGTAGGACAAGAGAGGAGGTTGTGGTGGTGGTAGTGGGAAAGAAAAAGAGAAAAACCAAAGAACATTAGTTGAGTGCAATTTAGAAGAGCACACTCATCGCGGCAGCAATTCAGTTGTCGATGTTGCCTGCACTGCGGGTAACTAGTCGGGTAGGAAAATAAGCCTCGAGATCACTCAGCAAAAGAATGGTGACTCAGATTCGCTGATTCATCCAGCAAGAGGGGTAGGGGGCAATGTGTGTGAATGTATCAATAAACAAATGCTAATTACTTGTTGTTGGTGTCACAGTTGGAGTTGCTTCCATCAGCCAGAGCAGGGCTGTGAGGGAGATGTGTGAGAAAGCGAGGTGTGGTGGGTTGGTGGTGGTGATGAGGCAACAAAACAATGATCATGCAATCGACCAGCACCGATCAAAAGTCAGTGCGTGCATCGGTAAAATCGTGCAAATAAGGTAGAGTGCCGAGCAGACAGAAGTGCGTGGGGGTCAGTGTTGAAATGTGTAGTCGTTATGGGGGGCCAGGTAAGAGTAGCGCATTAAGGGGTCAGTGCAAGTGCAACAATTTGTTGAAGTGCCATGCCAAAAGTGTAAAAAGGGGGAAGTGGGGGAGAGATTGCAAAAGGGGGTCGATTAGTTGCTGATTCAATTGAACAGTTCAAACAAAAAAAGAGGCACGCAAACACAAACACAAGCACGCAGAAAGAACAGACAGAAACGGTCCTCTACATAAGTAGATAGTGACAATGAGCACAAAATGTTTACCTTGGAATGAGCGACATTGGCGAGCCGTTCTCGTCGACANAAACAAGCACGCAGAAAGAACAGACAGAAACGGTCTTCTACATAAGTAGATAGTGACAATGAGCATAAAATGTTTACCTTGGAATGAGCGACATTGGCGAGCCGTTCTCGTCGACAAACTTGCCGCCAGCGTTGAGCACGTATCGCTGATTGAGATTGAAGAGCGAAAGTCGTGCAGTGGTCGGGTTATCTTTGTTCGCCGAGTCGCTATTTTTAAGTGGAGAAAACTCGTCCTCGCGAAGCACTTCCCAGACGACAAATTTCCTATTCAGTGATGAAATCAAATGGAACGAGGAAAGATGCATATCAGTAACTGTCATCAGCCATTTGCGTAACTTTTAAGTGAGCAGACTGTTGAAAAGTGCTGCTCCTGATTTAGTAACTCCCGTGATTTAGTCACTTACTTGGCAAACTCAAAGACATCAAAAACAAACTTCTCCAGCTTAATTCCATTGGGTTTCTCCGGTGACACCCTTAAGCCGTTGTTGTCCACAAAGGGAATCTTCTTCTTTGCCACGTGGTGCATCAACTGCTCTTCCCTACACAGGTAATAAACAAATGAGATTTTCACGTTTTAAAAAGACTTTCAGTCACTTACTTGATGACATTAACGAGAAAATTGAGCGTAAAGTAGTGGTTGCAGATGTTGCCTGCATTGAAAAGCAGCCGCCCGTCGGTGTTGCGCTTCTGTGCCGTCTGGTGCGAGACCTCACTGTACTCGACCACCTTAAACTTGCCCTTCACCTTGCAGATGATGCCCAGCGCTTCATTCGGGTACACCTTCTCCACCACCTTGGCGGCACACTCGGCGTCCTTGCGGATGCAGTAGCCGATGAACACCGGGTCGGCTACCTTAACCAGAATGTTGTCCACGCAGTAGGCGTGGATGTGCTCAATGCCCCGCTTGCTCATGTCCTCGAGGATGCCCTGGCCTCGGAGGGCCTTGTACAGGCCACCGTTGCCGTCAGGGGCTCGCGCCAGGGCGTATGGCTTGTCGAGAATGATCTGCCCCTCAAAGTTGAAGCAGGGCATGGTGTTCTGCTCAAAAAAGACGATGTTGCTCTTGTTCAGGCCAAAGTACTCGTGCTCCTTGAAGAACTCCACCGTCGGCTCAATGGTCGCCCCCGAGGTCATGATGTACCAGACGATGTTCACCGCAGAGGTGTCCTTGTTGAACTCCTTCGAGGAGAGCTCCTGCAACCTGAGGATGCGTTCAGCCTGAATTTGAAAGAGCGTC